GCGCCGCCGTGGCCACGGTGAAAGGCCGTCCCCACAGGGCGCCGCCGGGGCCACGGTGAAAGGCCGTCCCCACAGGGCGCTGCCGGGGCCACGGTGAAAGGCTGTCCCCACAGGGCGCCGCCGGGGCTGCTGGCCTGAGGCTGCGGCGGGCCACCCCGGCGGGGCTGGGGGCCCGAGGGACGGGCCCCTGGGAACACGCTCGGGACAAGCTCGGGGCAGAGAGCTGGTGTTTACAGGAACGGCCAGAAGTGCCGGGAAACAACTCAGCCCCACCCGGAGAGGCGCTCGGGGCTTCAGCCGTCTGAAATGAACTCACACGCCCGTTTAGCTGCGAACCCCCCGTCACTGGAGGCATCCAAGTAGAGCAAGGGCTCGGGGACAGGCCTTCAGACCCGCCCACACTGAGGCTCCACGAAATCCGCCCTCCCGGAAGGGGCACCTCCTGCCTCACCCTCCTCACCTGCGACTCCCACCCTCAGGAGAATCTGCCCCAAAGACCCGTTTCCAGCAAGGACCCAACCCCCGCCCGTGAGGACCTCTGGGGACCCAGGACCAAGAGCAGAGGGGGCTTGCGGCGTGTCCCGGGGCCTCTCGGTGCAGGCGGAGGGGACCCCCCCGGGGACGGGGATCGGTGCAGGTTTCAGGCGATAAACTCCCAGGCCCTCTCCAGGCCAGGGCCTCGACCCCTCAGAACTCCCCGGAACACGGAGCGGAACCCATCCCCTCAGGCAGCCTCAGCTCTTCCACAGGCTGCAGGGAGAGCAGGAAGCCCAGGGCAGCCGACCGCGGAGGGCCAGCAAGCGCAGGACGCGAGCGGGAGCCCAGGCGGATGGAGAGGAGCAGGGGCCTGGGCTCGCCCCGCCACACCCCGGCGCCCCTTACAGCCGGAGCGCTTGTCCACACAGCCCCGAGCGCTCCCAATAATTTCCCCTTCCTCCCTCCGCGAGTGACCACCCAGGCGGGAACTGGAGGGACATGCCTGCCTGACAATCTGCTTCCTCATGCTGGAAAATCTCTGTGCCCTTGAAACAGGGAAAAGTCTTAGGACATTCCAGCCGGGGTGGGAAGAGCGAGACCAAGGTCACGAATTCCTGGGGAGAATGTAAATTGGAACGACATTTCTAGCATTTACCAGCGTGCCTTGTGCCCTAAAAAAGGAGGCTGGGGCGCCTGGGTGGCTCAGTCAGTGAAGCGTCCGACTCCTGGTTCGGCTCAGGTCACGATCTGGAGGTCTGTGGGTTTGAGCCCCATCGGGCTCCGCGCTGACAGTGCTTGGGACTCTGTCTCCCCCTCTGTCTCTCAAAATAAATAAGTAAACATTAAAAAAGAGGCTATATCTGTAGAGTAAGTAATGTTCAGCACCGAAATAGGAAATCATTAGGAAGGAGGAAAATATTTATGAGAGCAGATGTTCAATTCAATATTGCAAAATTTTCAGCTCTCCCCAAATTTAGCTACATTATTTCAGTGCGATTCCAATAAGCAAAATACTCCAACGGGATTTTCAGTGGCATGTTGCAAAAGTTCGAAAGACAGCTGTGGAAAATAAGGACAAAGGGCATATCCTACCAGGTATCAGACTCGCTGTAAAGCTACAAGTTGCGAAGTCCAGTAATGACACAGGCACAGAGATCAACAGAAAAGACTAAGCCTGACCAGAGACAGAGAGACGATAAAACAGCATTTCAGGTAACGGGGTGAGGCTGGTATTGGAACCATTGGCTCCCCCATATTAAAAAATAGAGCTAAAGGGGTGCCTGGGGGGCTCAGTCGGTTGAGCATCTGACTTCGGCTCAGGTCATGATCTCTCGGTCCATGAGTTCGAGCCCCGCGCCGGGCTCTGTGCTGACAGCTGGGAGCCTGGAGCCTGCTTCAGATTCTGTGTCTCCCTCTCTCTGCCCCTCCCCCACTCATGCTCGGTCTCTCTTACTCAAAAATAAATATTTTTAAAAATTAAAAAACAGAGCAAGAACTTTGCTCTTGAAAGCATTGCAAGAACGAAGACCACGCTTACGGCTCTGGGGTAGAGACCGTGCATTAGCAGGAAGCCCGGAAAGCAGAGCAGGCAGCAGAACGGCCGTCAGCACAGCAGTGCCCCTCCCATCATGCCCAGCTAGAGAAGGTGGGTAAAATCTTACAATCTGTTGGAAGGAATCAAAGAGCTACTGAAACCATGCAGGCGAGGAGGCCAAGATTCCGGAGATGGGGGGCTGCCAGGGCAGGAGACAACATTCCAGCACTCCGCAGCACTTTCTCCTTAAATGCATTTGCATTCTGGGCACAGGGCAAGAGGCTGGGAATCTGGAGTCTTCCCAGGCAGAGGGCCGTTGCCGAGGGATGGAGAAACCCGCTGAGCTTTTGGTCAAAAGAAGCACACTTGAGAGACCAAGATCCCAGGAGAAAGAAGGAGTGGGGAACTTCGCTTGGCCAGTTCAAGCCTTAAGACATGTGCCAAACTCTGAGGGTATGAGGGGTGGAGTTTAAAATCTCAAGCAGAAAGCTTCTAAAAATCCACCAGGAGTCTTTTGCGGTCTCGGGTGTTAAGGAGACAGGGATTAGCCTTCAGGATCCTCTTGGTGATCACACCGCAGCCTGGTTTGAAAGCCCGGGGAAGCACACAGTCTAAAGGGAGGGCAGAGCCACAGGGAGGATTAACCTTACCCAAACTGCAAGGCTTCCCTGACTCCGTTTAGTCTCTGCCTGAATCAGGGATGACCGTCTACTCTGCCCGTCTGGAAGGAAAGGAGCAAACCATCCAGAGCCTCTACAGTGTTTTAACAGGCAAGGTCTGACAATACATCCAA